TCGAATGAATATATTTTCTGATATGCGAAAAAACAAAAACAAAAAAAAAAAAAAAAAATGCGCCTCACTCTTAAGCAAAACACAAAAAACGACGATGATGAAGAGAGAGAGAGATTGGGGGGGAGAGATAGCCGAAAAAAAAAGAAGAAACGCAATTTGAAGCGAAAGACATTAGCGCCACCTTTACTTTTTGTTGTGAGCAGGCGCAGATTTTTTTTATTGCGAATCATCAATCGAACGCGCGATATTTTAATCGATTTGATTTTTCGATTTGTTTTTTTTTGATTTTTGATTTTTGTTTCCTGAAGAATTTCCTGGTGGTGAAACTCCCACTATCATCATCAATCGAAAATGGATTTTATGTCATAAATCATTGTTTTTGTTTTTGTTTTTTTTTTTCGTTTTGTTTTGTTTTTGATCAGATTTTTGACAAAAAAAAAAAAATCGATCGATCGATCGATTGACAAACATTTGATTGATTGATTGATTGATTAACAACAGACATTTTCTGTTTTGGGTATGGTTTTTGATTTTCTGATCTTTCGTTTCTGGTTTTTTCTGATCTTTAAAATGTAAAATTTGAATTTTTTTCTTCGAAAACAAATCAGCCGGGGATCAAATTTTGGTTTCATGGCCACATCTTATGATCCATGTGATGATGATGATGACAAATTCATTCCCAAAAACAACGATATTTTTATCTTATTTTGGGTTATTTTTGGCAACCAAATCAAAAATCTGATGATGATGATGAAAAAAAATGGAATCGTCATTTTGATTAATTAATTTTTCATTGTTTTTCTTTCGATGAAATTTGAGAAAAAAACGCCCCTCATTTGATTGATGAAATTTTATCATTATCGTCGTCGTCGATACCATCATCGACGACGACGATAATGGCTGGATGATGAATTGGCGAAAATCAAAAATCAAAACAAAAAAATTCGAATACATTGTATATGAATGTCTCATCATTTTTTTTGTTGGAAAACAAAAAAAGAACGTTTTTGTCATTTGATGCTCAGGTGTTTTGTTTTTTTGAAATTTGAAAATTTTTTTAATTGAAAATTTTGATTTTTTTATCAAATCATCGTCATTACGAAAAGATAAAATGTCCATCTGCCCTCGTGAACGTCTGTTGACAATTGTCAACGATATTGAATTGATTTCCAAGTAAGTTTGGATTTTTGATTTTGCCGGGGCAACTTTTTAAATTACTTTTTGTTATGAAAAAAAATAGAGAAATGTTCGAGCATTTTCTTCTACCAAAATCAGCTCGATCAAATCTAATTGATCGTGTACAATTATCTGAATTATTAGTACGAAAAGATCAAGAATTACGTCAGGCAATGAAAGCAGCTGAAGAACAAGAATTAATACAATCAAAAATTGATCAATTACGACGTGAAGTACAGGATCATGATGATGAACTGCAAAAACTACAACAAAGTTTTAAAGAAGCTGAATCCATTCTATCGACAGCCATTTATCAAGCGAAACAAAAATTATCATTAATAAAAAAAGCTGATTCACATCCAATATCGATTGATGAATTAATAAAATATGCACATAAAATTAGTGCTGATCATTCAGTTGCATCACCATATAATTGGGAAATTGGTGATCCACGTCGGCCATATCCAACTGATTTAGAAATGAAATCTGGCCTTTTAGTTAATTCAAATGATGCTAATCTATCAAGTCTGTTACAACAACAACAGCAGCAACAACAACAATATCATCATCATCATCAAAATCAATTACAACAAGAATCATCGATACCTTTACGTCCATCATCGGCATCAAGTTCACCATATTCATGGGCTAATCAACAACAACAGCAACAACAATTCACACCGGATACAAAACCAAATATTAATTCCGGTGGATATGGTGATTATAATGATGTTAAACAACAACAACAACGAGATAATGATGAAGTTGAAGTAATGTCCACTGATTCATCATCAACATCATCAAGTGATAGTCAATAGATATTATCATCTTCAATATTGGATCGATAAGATGTCAAAGATTCATTCATTTACATAATTTTAAATCATTCCGATTATTTTTGTAAATAAAATATATTTTTTTCAAAATTTTTGATCACTTTTTTTATGAACGGTTCATTCGAATGTTCATCGTGTTCGATTCGAATGTTTTTTTTTTCGTTCGGTTTTTAATTTGAATCATTTGGTTCGACGACCAAAATGTATCGTCAAATTTTTTTCCAATCAATCAATCGATCGACACGACAAGGATATTATCTATCGAAAATATTATGTCGTAATTTTGGTGATAATCAAATGATGGTCGAACAGAAATCATCTACAAAACAATTACAGATGAAAATTGAAAATCGATTAAAAAATCGTATTGTTGAAATAGATCTTGGTCGTGGACCGGTACGTTCAAATGATTTGATCGATCAGATTGATGTTCTTGAAGAATCCATTGTAAAAGCAACAAATATTGATCAAATACGTGAATTAATTCGTTATAATTATCGTCAATTTGATACTAATCATGTTGTTCAATTATTCGAATCAATTGATAATATTGTCAGATATTCTATCGATTCCGATTCCACTAGATATGATTTACTTGGTTCAAAAGAATTTGAAATTCTTGCTAATCGTACAATGAAAATTATTCGTAATTTTGAAGCATCTGATTCATTGAATACAATGATTATATTGAATAATTTGGGCATATCGAATGATACCGTATTACAACAGGCAATGATGCAAATGATTCGTTCATGGATTAATGATTATTCTATTGATGATCTTTATCGTTTGGTTCGATTTATGAAAAAACAGCAACTTGATAATCAAAATGATAATTGTCGACATAGTTTACTGCAAGCCATACAACTTGCATTACCATATGCATTAAAACATCGAATTCAATATAAAGAATTGGATTTTTTTCATGCAAGAACATTAATGAAAACAGTGGAAATGATTGCATATTTTGGTATTGATATTTTTGGCGATTTGAATTTAGTGGAAAAATGTCTACATTATCTACATCAACAACTAAATCATTTAGGTCCACAAGAATGGCTGAATATTCTGGCATTTATTTATGAAATGAATATTCGAATTGATGAACCATCATCAATGATTGCTCAAACTATACGTTTAATAATTCGTGATTGTATCGATAACATACGTAATACTGATAGTGCAATACTTGAAGATTTACAACCACGTTTTTTCGTTAATGTCATGATGAAAATTGATCGTTATGCTTCGATTTATTATAATCGATATCTATTCGATTTAATTGCTGAACATGCATCGAATCATCCGGAAAAATTTGGCCTAATAAATCTATATCTTATTACACGTAAACTTGGTCAATTTCGTTATATAAATCATCGAATGTTGAAATTTTTTGCCGAACAAATTGATAATGAAAATCCAGATCTGATGAGTAAAGATTCATCACCAATTTCATTAGTGAATTTATTTCATTTGTTTTCAAAATCATCAAATTATCATGAAGAAATTCACGAAAATTTTACTAAACTAGCCGAAAAAATTATTCAATCCGAACGATTTATTATGGAAACAACAAAATTTAAAATGAATTATTTTTATTTTCTTCAAAGTTGTTTGTTGTTGAATGCCAGAATATCGGAAAATATTCTAATCGAATGGTTTGGTAGTGAATATTTTAATAAAGCATTGGATGTTCTACAAAGTCAATCAAAAAGGTATGTGGTTTTTTTATGGTTTTTGGTTGTAAAATCTTTACGTTTTCAAATAACTTTTTCATTTCAATTACGAATATAGGATAATATTTCTGAAAACAATGGCCATCATTTATGAAGGTTTATTTGTACAGAAATTAATTGAATTGAATGAAAAAAATGCCGATTATATACGACGAAAATTACAACCATTTTTAAATGAATATATTGAACTAATTCGAAATGGTTTGGAATGTCAACCACGATCGTTTGAAAAAGAACAGATTCGATTAATTTTGTCGAAACAATTCGAACAGCAACAACAACAACAAATACCGATTGATCAAATAATTCAAATAAATCAGGTAACTCCGACAGGATCGATAATTGATGTGGAAATTTGTTTGGAAAAACAAAAAATTGCAATAATTTTATTGAATCGTCGAAATTATTGCCGTCATCCATCGATTATTGATGGTGAAACAAAATTTCGTATCGAATCATTAAATCGACAAAATTATCAATCAATAATAATCGATATGGAAATGTTTCAACGTTTAACCGAATATGAACGTGAATTATTTTTACAAAAAGAAATTAAAAATTTTTTATAAAATTTAAAAAGAAAAAAACACTATTTTAACCTATTGTTGTTATTTACACCTAACATGGTCATTTTCGAATACCAAAAACAATACACGTGCTGTGTGTTTAGTGTTGGTTGGACATTCGATTTTATTTTCGTGAAAATTTTCTTCAAATTTAACGATAATGGCCGAAGATAATATGGATGATCCGAAATTGAATCTACATTCTGAAGATGAAGCAGAAGATGATGATGACGATGAAGAAGAAGAAGAAACAATCGAATCATTTGAATCAATGGATTTGGATCAAAGATTATTACATGCAATTGCTAAACAAGGTTGGCGTAAACCAACATTAATACAAGCAAAAGCAATACCATTAGCATTAGAAGGTTATGATATATTGGCAAGAGCACGTACAGGTACGGGTAAAACTGGTGCATTTACCATACCGATTTTACAGAAAATTTTAATGGCAAAAAAATTCGCTACATCAACCACGACGACCACAACAACTGCATCAAAAATTCGAGCATTAATTTTAGCACCATCCAAAGAACTTTGTAATCAAATTTTACAAAATTTCTCAAAACTTATTGAATTCTGTCGCCGAGATATTAATATTATGGATATTTCACATGGAAATTTGGATGATAAACGTAATTTTCTAATCACTGAACAACCTGATATACTGATTTCAACACCGAAAAAAATTATCGAATATTTTCAGGCAAAAATATTGAAAAATTTACCAAAACAATTGGATTTTTTAGTTATTGATGAATCTGATCTAATGTTTTCGTTTGGTTATCGTGAAGATTTATTAAAAATCTTTGAACATTTATCATCATCCAAATCATCGAATGTACAACATTTTCTAATGTCAGCCACTTTAAATACAGATGTTTGTGAATTGAAAAATTTATTACTAAATAATCCGGTAATATTAAAGTTGGAAGAACCAGATTTACCGGAATCGGATAAACTTCAACAATATCATATTGAAGTATTTGATGATGAAGAAAAATTCGTACTAATCAATGCCCTGCTTAAACTTGGTTTGATTGTTGGTAAAACCATAATATTTGTCTCGAATATTGATCGTTGTTATCGTTTACGTTTATTTTTGGAACAATTTGGTATCCGTTCTTGTTTACTGAATTCTGAATTACCAATCAAATCAAGATGTTCAATAATTGAACAATTTAATAATGATAATTATGATATAATTATTGCAAGTGATGAAAAATGTTTAACGAATCCGAATCAACGTAAAACAACAACGACGAAGACGATAAAACGAAAGAAATTGGCTAAAACAATAATGGGTGAATCAAGTGTTGCACGTGGAATTGATTTTAAATTTGTATCGAATGTAATTAATTTTGATTTTCCTGAAACAATCGATTCTTATATACATCGTGTTGGACGTACTGCACGTGGTGGTGGTGGTAATACGGATGCTTCGAATGATGATTCTTGTGGAACAGTTTTATCATTTGTTGGACCAGATGAACATGAAAATTTTCAACGTGTTTGTCGAAAATTTCAACGACGACAGTCATCTTCAAATGAAACAACAAATGTATTTCGTCCATATCAATTTCGTATGAATGAATTGGAAGCATTTCGTTATCGTTCACGTGATGCATTACGTTCAATAACAACAATCGCTATACGAGAAGCAAGATTACGTGAAATTCGTCGTGAAATGTTACAATCAAAACAATTACAGAATGAATTTTTTCAAAAACATCCAAAAGATTTAAAAATATTACGATTTGATCGTCCATTAGATGTTATAAAATCAGCACATGGTAATCGATCACATTTAAAAGATCTACCGGATTATATAATACCAAAAACATTACAAACATCGGTTCGAAGTAAACGTGAAAATCGACGAATCGAACAACAAGCAATGTTGAATTATCAACCATCATTATCAGGACGGAAAAAGAAACGAAAATCAATGAATCAAATGAAAACGAAATTAAAAAATCAACAAAATGATCCATTAAAAACATTTCGAATGAATGCTATACAACGATATAAGAATAAAAAACGACAAAAATCAAGAAAATGATGATCCTCGAAAATATTTTGTTTTTTTTTTGCTTTTTGATTTGAATAAAATTTTTTTCGAAAGAAATTTTTTTGAAAATTTTCAATTTTTCCGTTCGAAAAATATTTCCGGAATAAAAGAATCGTTCGAATCAAAAACGTTCGATTTTTTTTTTGAAACGATCCGGTCGACCGATCAACTGGATTTGGATTCAAATTTCTTTTTGATCCAGAAAAAAAGATCCTATTCAACTCCATAACAACAAGATATTTTACATTGTTTCATTTCATTTCATTTGATGATAATGACAATTTTACCATTCTGATGATGATGATGATGAACACGGGAACGGACAGCTTATAAGCTTATTGGCAACAACATTTTGATGGCCAACAAAAAAAAAAATAAAATTAAAATAATCATCAGTAGTAGTGGTTTGATGGATTATTATCATCATTCTGGGATTGTGTGTTCAAAGTTCTACATTCAAGTGAAAAATATATTGTGATGTGTGATGGCTTTCCTATTTATTTTTTGATTGAAATGTTTTTTTTTTCGTGTTGCTGTTTTGAGCAAAAAGATAGCAGATGATAGCAGCAGTAGCAAATACCAACAACAACGAATATAGAAGTTTTTTTTTGTTTGTTGTTGAAATGGATGTGTGTACATCGATAATGAAATGATGGACCACAGAAAACAACCTCCCTTTCAGATGGATATATATCGCTTCCACTATCCATGCATTTTTGTTTGTAATTATATTTTCGTGAAATGGATATACAGGAGATTTCCGTCGTATTTCATTTCATTTCAATGATAATTTGTTCCATCATAGACGAGAATGAGAATGATGAAGATTTGTCAAATTGGATGACGCCAAATTCACCTGGCCAAAAACAAAACAAAAAAATTAAAAATCAAATTTTTATTCAAATTCGATTTGATCAAGAGAAAAAAACTTTTTGTCATCATCATTATTACCGGATAACTTCGTTTTCTCTTTCCTATTTTTCATTTGTTTTACGAAAGAAAAAAAACATTATCAATCGCGTTGTGGTGGTGGTGGTAAATGGTGGCTCATCTTTCGCGTCCCTTTCGTTTTGTTTGGTTGGTTTCACACATATATACGACGACGAGGATGATGATGAACGACTCCATTTTTTTCCATTCTTCGTAATTTTTCTTTTCGGGATTTTCAATTTCAACCTTTTCTCTCCCACCACCCCACTCCACTCTACTCCATTCCTTTTACAAGTAGTTTTTCCCTCTGTATCTCTCTTTATACCATATTCATCATCAATCGATGATAATGATGATCAACAAATTCAATTTTGCTTTTGAAATTAAATTCATTCGAAAATCCAAATCGAACGAATTTGACAAATTCGTTCATCACCTTACATCACACACTCACACCCAAAGACAATCGATTATCACAATCGATTCGAATCTTTTATTTTTTCTAATGATTCGTTCATCACCTTCTCAGGAACAGAGATGATTCATTCTTAGATGAGAATCGATGTTAATTGCGAGCGAACGAAATCTTTTTTTCCCCCTTCAATTCATTAATAGATTCACAATGTGTTTTTCTCTCTCTCAAACATATTTCCATCATTCATTCATTTCAATATGCAAAAAAAAAATAGAGATTTTCCAATGAAGAAACACGAAAGGTGTTGAACAAAGATTCATATATCTACAGGAATCATTCGCTATAGGGATATTATCCGAATCAAAAAAATGTTGAAAATATCCGGTTTTTTTTTCTTTTTTCGTTGTTCATCTGAATCCGATTTCAAGTATGCTATGTTTTTGTTGTTGTTATCTTTCTTTCTCCCTTTTTTTCCAATCTTTTTTTGATAAAAATGCCTAAAAACAACGACGACGACGACGACAGAAAAAAAAATTGGAAAATGATGATCATGCGCAATCCAATAGGAAAAAAAACCGTAAGCAAATAATCAATTTATGTCAATGGATAAAAATGGAAGGAAATTTTTTTTTGTTTTTCGAGGGTAATAGTCACAATGGTTTTTTTCATCGTAACGACCGAACTAAATTGGCATTATGTTTTCCATTGTGACCACACTACAATTGGAAAAAAAAACTTTTACAAGGGCCCCGCATAACAACATGGTACGCGTATCAATTTTTTTTTCTTCACCTAGTAGTAGTGGCATATTTTAATGATGAGAAATGGCCAGCACACACACACAAAATCCTTCATAACTCGATGCTTTACCTCCCAAAATAAGCTCTTTTCTTCTTCTTCTTCTACAAGGATCCGTATACCAACAGTTTTCATTTTGCTTCTACAATTCGAATGAGGAGTAATACACAGAGATAGAGAGAGAGAGAAAACAAAAAACAAGTTAATATCGAATGTGTGTGAAGAACGAGAGAGAAAAAAGGCCTGGCCAAATCAATTTTTTTCATTTTAGCCAAAAAATGATGATGATGGAAAAAAAAAACATTGAGAAGAAAAAAGAAACCGAACAGATTTCATATTGCTTTGGTCGTGATCATATCGGGTGCTTTCTCTCTCTCTTTCATTCATTCTCTGTGTGTCTCTAATTTCGTTACTTTGCTTTGCGTTATCGCATAAACACAAGCCATAATTGTGTTAATAGTGTTTGCCGATGTTCTGTGTGTGTTACGATAGTCGCGACGTTATCGTTCGATTTGCCTATGCGCAAAAAAATTTCGAACACTAAAAAAAAAAATTACAAAAATCAAAAAAACATTCGAAATTTTTTTTCTTCTTTCTTTAAAATTGTAATTTTTTTTTTGATGGAAAATTTTTCAACTTTTTTGTTTTTTCTTTTCTCAAACAAATCTCCTTCGATGATCCAATTGAATTGAATTTTTAGTTTTTTTTTTGTTTTGGAGATAGAATCTCCCACTTAATCATATGATCTTTGAGTTTTGTGAATATATTTCAATGTTATCATTATTATTTTATTATTATTATCATTTTTTTCATCATAATCATCATCATCGAAAATCGTCATGACCATAATCGTATTTTTAATCGATACAAGCGGTTCAATGAATCAACGTGCCCATTCGGGTGCAAAACAAACATTATTAGATATAACAAAAGAAACTGTTGAACGTTTTATTAAGGTATTGTTTTTAATTTATTTGATTTTAGATTTTTGAAAAAAATGATGAAACAAAAAATTCGAATGTTGGAAAAACGAATGTCCAAAATAGCCCAAAAAAATATTTTTGGCTCCAAAATGAAATTTGAATTCATTTAGTTCAATGTTTTTCAATATAGATGGTGCTAGTTGATAGTTTTTGAATTTTTCTTTTTGAAATTTTCATTTTCAGAAATTATTCAAGATTAATTTATATAAAATTTCCATTTTATTTTCCAATTTTAGAATCGCCAAAAGGATATTGCAGCACGTGGTGATCGTTATATGTTGTTTACATTCGATGAAACACCATACAATATAAAGGTTTGGATTATCAATGTTTTTGTTTTGTTTTGTTTGTTTGTTTGGTGACTTATGATTTTATTCATCTCTTGAAAATAGGCTGGCTGGAAAGAAACACATGCAGTATTTGTAAATGAATTAAAAAATCTATCAGCCACCGGTTTAACAACAATGAATACAGCATTGAAAAATTCATTTGATTATTTAAATGTTAATCGTATGCAATCCGGTATCGATACATATGGTATGGGTCGTTGTCCATATTTTTTAGAACCAGCTGTTATTATATTGATGACCGATGGTGGTAAATTTTCAACATTAAATAATGTACAAGATGAATTAGTAATACCGGCATCAAGTTGCCCTGGTTCAGAATTTACAATCGAACCATTTCGTTGGGATCAACGTTTATTTTCAATTGTATTACGTTTTAATGGTATTTATCGTAATGATCAAACACAATTAGTACAAACAGTTGGCTGTGATCCATCACCAATTAATCAACTTTGTGAAGAAACTGGAGGTAAATATTTTTTTGATAATTTTTGATAATTGTTAGTTTGACATTTAATTCTTTCTGTTTTTTTTTAAATAAAGGCCGTTCATTTAGTGTTACATCAAAAAATGAAATATATTGGTCGGTTGATTATATACTTGCCCGATTACATCATGGTGTAATGGTAAAATTTGAAAAATTTGGTCCTGATCCACCAATGATACAGCCACCACCACCGCCATCATCTTCGATTAATGGGGTTAATGAAGAAACAAAAACTATAAATACTAATAATACTAATAATTTTGATCGTTCATGGCAATGTACAAGAAATATGATATTAGTTCGACCAGCAACAAAAGGTTATTCAGTTGGACATTGGCCAATACCTGAATCATATTGGCCTGATTCAAACATTCCAAGTTTACAGCCACGTACAGCACAGCCAATAATAAGATTTACTTGTACAAATTCTGAGCCAACTGTGATTGAAAATTTGCCTTTCGATAAATATGAGCTTGATCCAAGCCCGTTAACAAATTTTATATTAGCAAGAAAACAGCCAAATGTTGCATGGCAGGTATTTGTTTCGAATAGTCAAAGAAATTCTGAATTTGGCCAACCATTTGGTTATTTAAAAGCTAGTACAAATTTAGCATGTGTTAATCTATTTGTATTGCCTTATAATTATCCAATGTTATTACCATTATTGGAAGAATTATTTAAACAATTACAAGGAAAACCAACACGTGAATGGCGACAACAATTTGATAATTATTTGAAAGGTATGCCTGTTTATTATGCAACATCATTACGACGAGCATTACAACGAATGGGTGCACCAAATTTAATACCCGAAAATATGGAATTATATGCAACTGTAAATCTAAATAATATAATAAAAAAACAAAAAAATATGGCCAAATTAGAATTTGATAAACTAACATCATCAATGGGACAACATAAACCAATCAATATTGAATGGCCACGTATTTCAACAAATCATTTTAGTTTAATGTATCATAATCGTAAAACAATTAATAATCTTTATTGTTCAAATCCATCATTGAAACGAACATTCGCACAACGACCATATGAATTTCAAGATTTTAATGGTTTTATTGTTCGATATAAAGATCGTCCATATTCAGAATATAAAACATCATTTTATCGTAATCCAGCTGATATACCACGTAATGAATTATTACGACAAGCAAATAAAATACGACAGATATTTTTTCAAAAACAAATGTCATTGGCAAAATTTACAATGGATGAAGATCAAACATTTAATCTACCCGTAAGTCAAATGGGTAATTATCAAGAATATTTGAAAAAGAAACAGCCACCATTAAGAGAATTGGAAGCTGCACCAAGTCGACAACATATGTTTGGTAATCCATTCAAATTGGATAAGAAAAATCCAATGATTATTGATGAAGCTGATATTGAATTATCGAATAATAGTGGTGGTGGTGGAAATGGTGGACCAAATAATAATAGTGGTGATGGACAACCAAAAGGAATGAAAAGATCATTACCATCAATGGCACAAGGTGGTCCATCAATCAAACAACGAAGAAAACCAGGTCCAATACCAAAAGATTATTCTTATACAAGATCTCGTTCACCATCACCATTAATGTTTAATCAACCACCACCGACACCACCTCAACAATATATGATGTCACCTCAACAACAGCAACAACAATTATCATCACCAAATCCATATTTCAGTGGTGGTAATTATCCACCACCAAATTCAAATAATCAAAATCAAATGTATCAAACAGTGGTAAATGGTTCAACAACAACAACACCATTATCATCTCAACAACAACAGCAATTATCAAATAATAATAATCAAGTTAATCATCAAAAATTACTTCAACAATCATCATCACAAACAATGATGAAATCAAATATGAAAACTAATAATAATGGTAATAGCAATATGATTATAGGTAAAAATAATACCGGTGATTCAACAACGATTAGAGGTGCTTTTGGTTATCATTTATCATCACAACAACAACAGCAACAACAACCACCATTAATTATCAATAACTTTACTGGTCATGGACAACAACAACAACAACTATTCAAACCAATTGCAAATAGACCAACAGGATTTAGTGGATCAATTTTTCCGAATCATAATCAACAACAATCGGCAAAATCTATTCATCAAATAATATCGAATGGTAATGGACAACAACCACAACAGTCCGTTTCTACTGGTTCGAATCCATTTCCAAAATTAAATCAACATTTAATTAATGGTAATAGTGTTGGTGGTGGTAATACGATGATGATGATGAGTGGAGCAAAACATTTTGGATTTTTTTCAACTGGAAATGGTTTTAATCCAAATCGTGGTTATTTATTTAGTAAAGAAGAAAATGAAAAATTAAAATCAGCTTTACATTTTGTACGAATGAAAGGTAAGTGTTAAAAAAAGTTCATTTCAGATGATAATTTTTGTTTTTTGTTTTTTCTTTCCACCGGGAATTCAGATTCAAAATCATTGATACAAATAATATCAACACAGAAAGGTTTATTTGCTGATCGTTTATTATTTGAATCAGTATCATATGCACAACGTTTTAAAATGACATCAATCATACAGATATTGAATAATCATTTTGGTATTCGTGTACAATATGCATTGGATATTATTAATAATAGTAATCCAAGGATGATGATGACGATGGCCACAACAACAACAAATAATCAAACAACAGCAGTAGCAGTGACCAATACAACGATCTCTACATCACCAGCCGTTGTTACAGTTACCACAAATAAATGATGATGATATGTTTGTGTGGTGTGATTGTTTTATTCACTGTGATGATTCACTTTCATGATGATCTTCAAAATTCTTTCAAATGTGAATTTTATTTATTTTTGTTTTTGGATCGAAAATGGACAAGTTTTTTTTTTGCTGTCACTTAATCAAATTGACCTATCGATTGATTGTTACATTTAATTTTTTTTTATGATCATCATCATCTTTTCTGTTTTTTTCCTCTTCACTTTTTGTTTGTTTACTTTTTGTATTCTTTTGTTTAATATCCATCATCATCATCATCATGTTTAATAATATCAAATCAAATCAAAAAAACAAAAATCATTTTATTAGTTTTTTTTTAAAATGTGAATAATAATAAAAAAAGGAAAAGAATATCATTTTACACCTTATTGATTTTTGCAATATCTTGATGTTTGTCATCATCGTCATCAACAAAACATTCGAATTCGAATGTTTTTTTTTTCTGTTTCGAACATTCCGAACATACCATTCATAAATGTTGTAATCAAACATTCAAACTGTGATCTCAGGATTTTTTTTTCAATTTTTGTAAATTTTATTTAATTAATTTAGAAATTTTTTTTGTAAATTTGTAAATTAAATTATCAATTCAAATAAGAATAATTAAAAAAAATTTTTGAATTTTAAAAACGGATTTTTTTTCTTCTTTTTTGAAAACGAACGGAGAGAAGAAAATTTGTGGAAAAAGAAATGTTGAATAAATCGACCACTATTCTAACAACATTATCATCAACGATAATAACAACAACAACCAAACATCATAATCATCATCATCATAATCAAACAACCGATGAATTACCTAATAGAGAAATTAATGTTGCAATCGTTACTGTTGGATTAATATTAACCGTTTGTTTTGTTTTAATGGCAATTTTTTGTCTATATTGGACCGATCAATTTAATCGTACAACAACAAAAATGAAAACATTAAAACCATTTACATTAAAAACATTTGATGATTATAATCAACCTTATGATTATCATCGATCAAAACAACAACAACAATGTCTTGAAATGCCAATATCAAATGAAAAATATGATGATAATATGATAGTTATAGAATAATTATTTGATTAAAATTGAAATCTTGATTAAAAAAAAAAGTTTCTTTTTTCGCACCAAATATTGGTCATTAATTTGTTTGATAAACACACAGAGAGAGTGTGTTTTTGTTGATCTAATCTGAATTGAATTGAATTAATGAATTCAAAACAAGTTTTTTTTTATCCCTCTCTTAACACTAACCAACCACCGCACCTCGATAAAATAAAATGAGCAATAGGTAATGATGATGATGAATGAATGGTAAAGTAGGAGTATAGAATGATTGTTGTTTTTCACATTGATAATAATATCGATGATGATGATGATTGTGTTATCCTTGAAAAACAAAAATTTTTTTCCCCTTCTTTTTTTTAGACATTCATTTCACATCAGCTGATTGAATTTCTTGTTGTTGTTGTTGATTGTGAATTCGCATTGGACGATGATTTGATGGCAAAAATGAGATGACCGGAAATCAATCTTTGGAAATTCAAGAATAAGAAATTCAAACATTGAAGAATAATGAAGAATCAAGAATAATGATCATCATGATGGTTAGAAATGTAATCAAAAATGAATTACGAAATCATCATCATCAATTTATATCATTGACATCTACGATGACGATGATGATGAAAACAACATTATTATCATCATCGTGTAAGTCAATTTTTTTTCATATTAAAATTTCTTTTGTTTTGTCATTTCTGGTTTTGATGATAATGATGATGATTGTTTCGAAATAACAAAATTCAGAGAAAAACCAAAAACCAGAAATTGAAAATTTGCAACAAAAAAAAAATTTGTTCCGAATTCGAATGTTTTGAACACATTCGAATTCCATCAACATCAACCACATCACATCACACCACACATTCCACAATGCTTCTACCTTTGTTTCTCGTTTCCGTCTTTTATTTTTTCCACTTCCTCTTTTCCTTTCTATATAGATTTCCTGCCCACCACCACCACCACCACTATCACACTGTCGATGTCACACCCACATCCACCATCCATCTATATAAGCATCTTTCGTTTTTTTGTCTGTTCGCGTAAAACTGTCAATGTTGTTAATGTTGCCTGTTCAAATTCTCTTTTCAATTTTGTTTTCATTTCGTTGTTAACTTTGAAAATTCTTTACTGAAAATCACACCACCACCATTCATCACCGCTACGACTTTCGCAAACAATCAAAACACTGATTGACTCTTGAAACACTGACTTGAAAATATTGAGAAATTTTTTTCCTTCGTAATCCATCCATTCATCCATCAATTCATTAATTATCAGCTGAGAGAGATTAATTTGATTGTGCAAAATTGATAACAAGTTTTTTCCCTGCTTGAAAGCATCATTTTGATTATATTTAGAGGAAAAAAACGTGTTCCATAAACAATTTAGCAACATCCATTGGGCCTTGTGTTTAAAACGACCAACAAGAACAGCACAAGATTTTTGTAAATAACGGGTAAATAATGCTTTCCTATTCAAGAATCAGAAATCAAAAAGCGAAACCAAAGAATATTCTTGCCATCCCTCATCATCAATATTTTGACAAACGATTTTTTCCCATCATCATCATCATTGTTGATGATGATAATTGAGTTTGTTTACATTTGATTTCGTTACATTCTATCATCATCAAATCTATCATCATCATCATGCATGATCATCGTCATTAGCATATTCTAAAAATAATTCTTTTTTTTTGATTATGTACTTTTTTTTACCACCAACATCATCATCATTGAATAATTTTTTTTTTGTTGTAAAAACGAAGTTTGTTGAACAAAATTACAAAATCTTTGAGTTTTCGTTTCTCTTTTTTTCTTTCGATCAACAAAAATCATTTGGCTTCCTTCTGTAAAAGGGGGCAATTTGTTATTAATTACGCGGTAATGAATATGGAAAATTTTTCTTTCAAAAAGTGAAAGAAAAACAAGTTTTCTTTGATTTTTTTTTTCTTTTCAAAATTATCATGATGATGGTAGTTTTCCATCAATGTCCTTGATTTACTGAAATTACTTCATAGATTTGTTGTTGTTGTCGAGGAAAAAAAGAGAGAAAGAAATTAATTACAAAGTAACATTTTCAGGTGTAACATTTCAGTTTTCATGATTTAATCATTCAATCGTTCGATCGAATGTTTTTTTTTTGTTTTTGCATTCGATTTTTCGAATGAGTTTGAAAACGTTCGATTTTTTTTTTGTTTCTCTCAATAATTTTTGTTTTCTTTTTTTCGTTTTTGAAAAAGTTTTCATCACTAAATATTCAATCAAATCATCATCATCATCGTCGTTGGAATCACAAATCATCATGGATTCAAAATGTTTATTAGCACAAAATAATCAATCAACAACAATAAACGTCGTCAATAATAATGATAACGATTCATCAATGATAATGACTACGGCAACAACGAATAAATGTCCAACGCAATTGATAAATGGTGGTCATTCTACAACATCAACATTAATGAATACAACCGGTGGTCTTGTTGCAAATGCATCACGTAAACATCAACGTCGTTTTAATATGCAAAGAATATTTGTTAATCGTTCAATGCATTTAGAAAAGATAAAATTTTTTGGTTTCGATATGGATTATACATTGGCTGTTTATAAAACACCAGATTTTGAAGCATTATCATTTGATCTAGTAAAAGAACGACTTATTAAAATGGGTTATCCAGCTGATATTGATGCATTTATATTTGATCCAACATTTCCTGTACGTGGTCTTTGGTTTGATACTGAAACTGGTAATCTATTAAAAGTTGATCCATATGGTAATATTTTAGTTGCTGTATTTGGTTTTCAATTTCTTAAAACGTAAGATTTTTTATAAATTATTTATAAATTTCATTTTTTTATAATCATTATTTATTTATTTACTATATACACAGTTCAGAAATATATGCCATATATCCAAATAAATTTGTACAATTAGATGAATCAAGAATTTATGTATTGAATACATTATTTGCACAACCAGAAACTTATCTATTAGCATGTGTTATTGATTTTTTCTCCAATTCACCCGATTATATAAGGTATTTTTTTTTTGATGAGAAATTTTTTTTTCTTCAAATTTTTAATGAATTATCCTTGACAACAGAGTCAAAGAAAATCATCATGGTGTTAAAGCTAAAGCTGGAAATCTATTCATGTCATATAAAAGTATTTTTCAAGATGTACGATCAGCATTTGATTGGGTTCATGTAAAGGTATCTTTTTTTTCATTGATTAATTTAACTTTTTCAAAAATATTCTTCATCAAATAGGGTTCATTGAAAGAAAAAACAGTGAATAATATTGAACGATATATACATCAAGATCATCGTCTTCCATTATTATTGGATCGAATGCATGAAAATGGAAAGAAAATATTTTTATTAACAAATTCTGGTTATAATTATACGGAAAAAGTTATGGATTATCTATTTCAAGTACCATCGGCAAAAAATCGTCCATGGAAATCATATTTTGATTTTATTGTTGTTGATGCACGTAAACCATTATTTTTTGATGAAGGTACTATTCTACGGCAGATTGATGTAAATACTGGTGCATTACAAATTGGTACACCAACTGGTCCATTCGAACCAGGACAAGTATATTCAGGTGGATGTTGTGATGTATTTACCGAATTGATTGGTGCCAAAGGTAAAGATGTACTTTATATTGGCGATCATATATATGGTGATATTCTTAAATCGAAAAAACGACGTGGTTGGCGTACATTTTTGGTCGTACCAGAATTACAAAAAGAATTAGATATATGGATGAACAAGCGTTTACTGTTTGAACGTTTAAATGAATTGGATGTAAAATTGGGCGATATGTATGTAAATATGGATTCAAGTTCACGTGATAAACCGGATATAAAAGAAGTACGAAATCAAATTCGTGAAACAATTCATGAATTGGATATGAGTTATGGTATATTGGGTAGTATATTTCGTTGTGGTTCAAGACAAACACATTTTGCTAATCAACTTTGTCGTTTTGCTGATCTTTATTCAAGTACATTTTTGAATCTAATGTATTATCCGTTTAGCTATATGTTTCGTGCACCACCAATGTTGGTAAGTGTTATTTATTCTTTTTTTAACACAAAAATAAAAATCCTCCTTTTTTCTCTTAAACAAGATGGCACATGAATCAACTGTTGAACATGAAAATGATGATAGCCTTAATCTATGGGATAGTCAATCAATGGAAGCCAGTTTTGATGGAACAACAACAACAACAATCAACAATAATAATAATGAATTATTCAACGTAACCAATTTAACAATGAATAATAATATTATCGATCGTAATAAACAATTAATCGAACAGAAATTAGAGGTTAATGAATCTTCTGGTGAATTAATTAACAATAACAACAACAATAATAATACTGCTAATAATAATAATAATGAACGTTCAGGTTCACCATCAATGATCGATCGTTTTGATCGACAACGATCAATTGGACAAATAGTTGAAAAAGTACAATCACAAAAAATATCACATCAAAATTCAGTACCACATTTATTTGCTGAAACACCAAAAGCAATTACACATCATCATGATACTGATGATGAAGATACTGATCATTCATCAAATTCTGATCAAAATGATGAATATAAAGATAAATCTTTATAAAAAAATCATTGGAAGAAACGAAAAAAAATGACTGAAACTAAAAAAACGAAAACTTCATCAGAATTTTATATAATTTGCTCATTTCCCTGTGTTATCATCATTATCATTGCTGATTTATTCACTCAATTCTTCTTCTTATTTCTGTTGTTTTTTGTTGTTGCGATTGTTCATCCATAATTCGCTAATTATTTCATTTTGTTTGTTTGTTATAATCTTTTTCTTTTGGTTGTTGCTGTCGAAATAGAAACGGAAATACGTATATTTTTTTCTCGCTCTCTCATTGAATGTTTATCATTTTTTTTAAAGAAATAAATAAATTTTATCAGCGACAAAAATGCGATAATCGTCGATGATGTTGACCTTGAAAGTTATTGATTGATGATTGATTTATCGATTTGTTTTGATGCTCACTCGTTGGTGGTTTGTTGATTGATTCTTCATTATTTCACAAACACCAAACACCAAACAACAACTTACCGATTACAAAAATGGCCTTTTGTATGCGGAAAATTTTCAATTTTTGTTTCAAATATTCATTAGTTATTGGTGTAATTTGTATTGCAATAATATTTGCACCATCATCAAATAATTTTTTATTGGATATTAATCCAAAAATATTGCAAGTATCATTACCAGAAACATTACGACAATTTGAAACGAAAAAAGTTGAATGGAAATCATTTGAAAATGTTGCTCAAATTGATGGACCTGATTCGATTGCATATGATTCGAAAACCGGTAGATTAATTACCGGTTCGAATGATGGTTATCTTTATCGTATCGATACGGATGATGATCAAAATCCTAGAAAATTATTTAAATTAATTGATGACGAATTAATGGCAAAATATCAATATAAACGTCAATCACGTCCATCTGGTTTACGATTTGATTCCAATGGAATATTATTTGTTTGTGAACCAATGTTTGGTATATTTAAAGTGGAAAATATTTTCACCGAACAACCAAAAATTGAATTAATTTTTGATATTGATAAAACATCCGAATTAGATGGATCAACTAGTGTATTTTTTGATGATTTAGCTGTACAGGAAAAATCAACCGGTGGCCATATAATATATGTATCGGATGTTAGTAGAAAATTTTCCTTTCAATATGTAATGGCCAGTATTTTAAGTTCAGATTCAAATGGTCGTATTCTACGTTATGATACTGATACCGGTAAGCTAGATATTCTAATGTCAAATTTATTCTTTCCAAATGGTTTGGAAATGTTATCGGATAATAGTGGATTTTTATTAACCGAAACTGGTAATCGTACTGTTTGGAAATATACATTTAAAAATCAAAATGCTCGTGTATTAATGACATCATTACCCGGTGAACCGGATAATATTCGTAAAAGTTTAAATGATAAAACATATTGGATAACATTATTACGGCCACGAACAGTAAATAATCCTTTGATGATTGATTATATGATGCAATGGCCTTCAATAAGAAAATTATTAGTACGTTTATTGGATTTAATTGGAATGATATTTGATTGGTTTTATCGTTTAACATCCATATCCAAATTAAAATGTTTATCCAAACAATTTCGTACGCTAGAAATACTAAACAAAATTAATGATGATTTTATTTATGGTGGAATGTTATTAGAAATTGATTCAAATGGTCATATTATTCAATGTATTTATCAAACTAATAATCAATTAGCATGGGCAAGTGAAATCAGTGAAATTCCTTCGGATAAAAATTCAAATCAACAACGAAAACTTTATATTGGATCATTTCGTCCTGGTTATCCAATTCGTAAAATTATTCTATAAACAAAAGAGCATAGAGAAATTTTTTTTTTACAAACTTTTTAATTATTATTAAATTATCATGATTAATTTTGATTACATTTTTTTTAAAAAAATATTGAAAAACGGATTCATAAAAGACAGAACAAATATGATGCGATCAGTTTTTCTTTTCTTTCATTCGTCATTCAATATTTTGTATCGTTCTTTAAGTTCCATCATTACATTCGAATCAAACTGTGATGAATTTTATTACAAATAATTTCTACATAATTTGGTTAAATTCTTATCCAAAAAACATTCAGCTAAATTCAAAAATTCTTTAACATTCGAATCATTTAGATGAATTTTACCAAAATATAAAAGTTGAATATATTGATAGAAAATATCATATGATATTGTTGTTATTCGAATTGATTTCTGTCGATTCCATTCATTCGATAACACTCGATTAAAATATTCGGATACCATTCGTAGATATGATCGTTGTACATAAATATAACGGCTACCTTTTTTCGTATTATCATCATCATCATCATGTGGAAATTCGAATCGTAAATCATTCACGTCCGAATCGGGAAGATCAAACGTAGCCGATATCGATTCAGACATCTGATAATGATAAAAATTCAAATCGAATTCGGCAGTATTCATACACCAACCAAATGTTATTGGTATTGTTGAAACTTTGTCAAAAATTTCCTGAAAATCGGATACTTCAATCATTGTTCGTGATAATAATGATTGTGGATCAAAAATAAAAAATATTGTACTCAAATTTTGATGATTTTCATACAGAATACAAGTTAAATTTGCTGATGATAATGTTAATATTTCGGTTACTTGAAAATTACGTTTATGAATTCTCGATATTGAATCACCAAACTTTGATCCACTAAAATCATCAACATAAAAAAGATTTTGAAAATGTCGAATTTCATTTTTAGTTGTAATTGCCAATGTAAAACATTCACCAGCCGAAATATTTTCATATTTATCATCGCAATGACCTTCAGCCATCATTAAAAATGGCTTATTAATTTTTTGACCAACATTGTTTGTGATTTGTTTGAATAAATTAAAACCCCAACCAAATAAACGATTATCATCCGTAATGGCTAATGAATGCTTCCAACCACATGCAATTGTTCGAATATTTGTTAATTCAGTATCGATTAAATTTTCATAATCATTTATAGTTGTACCATTACCACATTGACCATAATTATTCCAACCGATTGTATAAAGATGTCCATTATCTTCCAAACAAAGTATATGTGAATGACCACAAGCAATATCTTTAAATTGTTTTGTTTTTGATAATAAACGCATTTGGTGACCATTCTGATCATCAGTTGATTTTGGCCATTGTGAACTATCACCAGCTATATAAATTTGTCCATCATTTTCAGTCAATATTACAACCATATTTGATCCATAAGCAACTTTTCGTATAGATTTTCCGGATAATATTCGTATTTCTTGTGCAGAATTTTGTTGATNAATTAATTCAATAAAATTGGTAATTTGTTGTAGAAAATTTAAATCTAAGCATCGTAATTTATGATACCAATTTTTCAAACTAATTTTTAATGCTGATTTTTTATTACTAAAAATGTAAAGAAAATTTATAAAAATTTTATTTTGTTTTTTTGAAGGAAATAATATTATACTTACAAGTTCGTTTCAGTATGAGCAACTGAAAAAAATGAAAAAGAGTTTGAGTAATTTTCATTCAATTTAAATTTTGTTGAATTTTGTTCTAAATAATTTCTGCATAATTCGGTTAAATTTTTATCCAAAAAACATTCAGCTAAATCCAAAAATTCTTCAACATTCGAATCATTTAGATGAATTTTACCAAAATATAAAAGTTGAATATATTGATAGAAAATATCATATGATATTGTTGTTATTCGAATCGAATTCTCTCGATTCCATTCATTCGATAACATTCGATTAAAATATTCGGATACCATACGTAGATATGATCGTTGTACATAAATATATCGGCTACATTTTTTCGTATCATCATCAACATCATCATTTGGAAATTCGAATCGTAAATCATTAACTTCCGAATCGGGACAATCAAACGTAGCCGATATTGATTCGGACATTAAATAATAATAAAGATTTGAATCATAACGGCCAATATTTTCACACCAACCAAATGTTATTGGATGTGTTAAAAATATATCCCGAAAATTCTTTGCTTTAATTGTTTCCGGTGATAATAATGAATATGGATCAAAAATAAAACACTCCGTACCCTTACGAGGTGTTTCACATACAAAACTAGTTAAATGTACTGATGCTAATGTAATTACTTCGATTACTTTGAAATCAGATTTAATTTGAAAATTCGGAATCGTTCGATCAACAAAAAATTGTCTTATAAAACCAAAAGGATTTTCCTCCTTAAATCTTTTATTTTTGAATTGTCGAATTTGTTTTTTGGTTGTAATTGCTAATGTAAATCCTTTACCAGCTGTAATATTTTCATATTTATCATTGCAGCGACCTTGAGCCATCATTAAAAATGGCTTATTAGTAATTTTTTGATCAACATTGTTTGCGATTTGATTCGAAAAATTCGAACCCCAACCAAATAAACGATTATCATCCGTTATAGCTAATGAATGCATCCAACCACATGCAATTGTACGAATATTTGTTAATTCAGTATCGATTAGATTTTCATAATCATTTATCGTTGTACCATTACCACATTGACCATAATCATTCAAACCGATTGTATAAAGATGACCATTCTCTTCCAAACAAAGTATATGTGAATAACCACATGCAATATCTTTGAAATGTTTTGTTTTCGATAATAAACGCATTCCACCACCACCTAAATAAATTTGTCCATCATTTTCAGTCAATATTACCACCATATTTGCTCCATAAGCAACTTTTCTGATAGATTTTCCAGATAATATTTCAATTTTTTGTGGATAATTTTTTTGATGTTTCAATGATAACCATTCACAAACTGTTTCACCATATGCATATGTTTGGTTTTTCATTCCAAGATAAAATATAAATCCACCACTTTTCAATTCAAATTGGAAAAATGTAATTAATTCAATAAAATTTGTAACTTGTTGAAGGAAATTCAGATCAATAAATTCTAATTTATGATACCAATTTTTCAAACTAATTTTTAATGCTGATGGTTTTGAACTAATCAACAAACAAACAAAAAATTCATTTGAAAACATCATTAAAAGAAAATATATTATACTTACATATCCATTTTAGCAACTGAACAAAAAGAAAATCGAAAAAGAATTTAACAAATTTTCACTAAATGAAATGAAATGAAAATGGAAAATGATTCACTCACATTCCCAGAATCAGGAAACAACNAAATTTGTAACTTGTTGAAGGAAATTCAGATCAATAAATTCTAATTTATGATACCAATTTTTCAAACTAATTTTTAATGCTGATGGTTTTGAACTAATCAACAAACAAACAAAAAATTCATTTGAAAACATCATTAAAAGAAAATATATTATACTTACATATCCATTTTAGCAACTGAACAAAAAGAAAATCGAAAAAGAATTTAACAAATTTTCACTAAATGAAATGAAATGAATAGAAAATGGAAAATGATTCACTCACATTCCCAGAATCAGGAAACAACATTCGAAAAGGATATTGACAATGCAACAACAACAACTACAAAAAATTCCTTGACAAGTTTACATGTTGAAAAGTATTTGCAGATAAACTTGCACACTGTAAATGAACGGACTTTTTTGATTGTTTTTTTTTTAAATTTAAAATTTTATAAAACTTTTTTTTTTATTAAATCATAATTAAAATTTAGAAAAAAAATCAATTCAATTCATTAGTCATCAATATTAAAACGACTAAAAAGTTCAATCATTACATTCGAATCAAACTGTGATGAATTTTGTTTTAAATAATTTCTGCAAAATTCTTTTAAATTTTTATCTAAAAAACATTCAGCTAAATCTAAAAATTTTTCAATATTTTGTTCATTCAATTGAATTTTACCAAAATATAAAAGTTGAATATATTGATAGAAAATATCATATGATATTGTTGTTATTCGAATCGATTTCTGTCGATTCCATTCATTCGATAACATTCGATTAAAATATTCGGATACCATTCGTAGATATGATCGTTGTACATAAATATATCGGATACCTTTTTTCGTATCATCATCATTATCATCATCATGTGGAAATTCAAATCGTAAATCATTTACTTCAGAATCGGGACAATCAAACGTAGCCGATATTGATTCGGACATAAAATAATGATAAAGATTTGAATCATAACGGCCAATATTTTCACACCAACCAAATGTTATTGGTATTGTTGAAAATTTGTAAAAAATTTCCTGAAAATTCGTTACTTCAATCATTGTCAGTGATAATAATGATTGTGGATCAAAAATAAAAAATATTGTACTCAAATTTTGATGATTTTCATACAGAATACAAGTTAAATTTGCTGATGATAATGTTAATATTTCGGTTACTTGAAAATTACGTTTATGAATTCTCGATATTGAATCACCAAACTTTGATCCACTAAAATCATCAACATAAAAAAGATTTTGAAAATGTCGAATTTCATTTTTAGTTGTAATTGCCAATGTAAAACATTCACCAGCCGAAATATTTTCATATTTATCATCGCAATGACCTTCAGCCATCATTAAAAATGGCTTATTAATTTTTTGACCAACATTGTTTGTGATTTGTTTGAATAAATTAAAACCCCAACCAAATAAACGATTATCATCCGTAATGGCTAATGAATGCTTCCAACCACATGCAATTGTTCGAATATTTGTTAATTCAGTATCGATTAAATTTTCATAATCATTTATAGTTGTACCATTACCACATTGACCATAATTATTCCAACCGATTGTATAAAGATGTCCATTATCTTCCAAACAAAGTATATGTGAATGACCACAAGCAATATCTTTAAATTGTTTTGTTTTTGATAATAAACGCATTTGGTGACCATTCTGATCATCAGTTGATTTTGGCCATTGTGAACTATCACCAGCTATATAAATTTGTCCATCATTTTCAGTCAATATTACAACCATATTTGATCCATAAGCAACTTTTCGTATAGATTTTCCCGATAATATTTCTATTTTTTGTGGAGAATTTTGTTGATGTTTTAATGATAACCATTCGCAAACTGTTTCACCATATGCATATGTATGTTTTTTCATTCCAAGATGAAATATAAATCCATCACTTTTGAATTCAGATTTGATAAATGTAATTAATTCAATAAAATTTGTAACTTGATGAAGAAAATTCTGATCAATCCGATATAATTTATGATACCAATTTTTCAAACCAATTTTTAATGCTGATGATTTTGAACTAACAAAAAAAAAGCAGCATTAAAAATTTCATTTTGTTATTTAAAGAAAATATATTATACTTACAAGCCTATTTTATTATGAACAACTGACAAAATCGAAGAAGAATTTGACAAATTTTTGTTCAATTTAAATTTTGTCGAATTTTGTTCCAAATAATTTCTGCAAAATTCTTTTAAATTTTTATCAAAAAAACATTCAGCTAAATCCAAAAATTCTTTAACATTCGAATCATTTAGATGAATTTTACCAAAATATAAAAGTTGAATATATTGATAGAAAATATCATATGATATTGTTGTTATTCGAATCGATTTCTGTCGATTCCATTCATTCGATAACATTCGATTAAAATATTCGGATACCATTCGTAGATATGATCGTTGTACATAAATATATCGGATACCTTTTTTCGTATCATCATCATTATCATCATCATGTGGAAATTCAAATCGTAAATCATTTACTTCAGAATCGGGACAATCAAACGTAGCCGATATTGATTCGGACATAAAATAATGATAAAGATTTGAATCATAACGGCCAATATTTTCACACCAACCAAATGTTATTGGTATTGTTGAAAATTTGTAAAAAATTTCCTGAAAATTCGTTACTTCAATCATTGTCAGTGATAATAATGATTGTGGATCAAAAATAAAAAATATTGTACTCAAATTTTGATGATTTTCATACAGAATACAAGTTAAATTTGCTGATGATAATGATAATATTTCGGTTACTTGAAAATTACTTTTTTGAATTCTCGATATTGAATCACCAAACTTTGATACACTAAAATCATCAACATAAAAATGATTTTGAAAATGTCGAATTTCATTTTTAGTTGTAATTGCCAATGTAAAACATTCACCAGCCGAAATATTTTCATATTTATCATTGATGTATAGATAATGATCATCATATGAGGCAATCATTAAATATGGTTTAGTAATTTTTGTATCTGTTTCGTCTGTAATTTGTTTGTATAAATTACAACCCCAACCAAATAAACGATTATCATCCGTTACGGCTAGTGAATGCATCCAACCACATGCAATTGTACGAATATTTGTTAATTCAGTATCGATTAAATTTTCATAATCATATTCAATTGTCGATGTACATTGACCAAAACGATTCCAACCGATTGTATAAAGATGACCATTATCTTCCAAACAAAGTACATGTGAATGACCACAAGCAATATCTTTAAATTGTTTTGTTTTGGATATTAAACGCATTTCTTGACCATTCTGATCAGCCGATTTTGGCCAATATTTATGATTACCAGCTATATAAATTTGTCCATCATTTTCAGTCAATATTACAACCATATTTGCTCCATAAGCAACTTTTCTGATAGATTTTCCGGATAATATTCGTATTTCTTGTGCAGAATTTTGTTGATGTTTTAATGATAACCATCCGCAAACTTGTTGACCATAAGCATAGGTTTGTTTTTTTATTCCAAGATGCAATATAAATCCACTACTTTTATAATTTTTATAAGAAAATGTAATTAATTCAATAAAATTGGTAATTTGTTGTAGAAAATTCAGATCAATGCATTGTAATTTATGATACCAATTTTTTAAACTAATTTTTAATGCTGATTTTTTATTACTAAAAACGTTGAAAAAAAAATTATTTATTAAAAAAAATTTCATAATTTTTTCATCCAAAATTTACTTACTTCATTTTGGTTAGTGTATTTGAGCGTTTGGCGACCAATTTACATTTATAGCCATTTGGAATAAAGCATTTGACCAAAAATCAACAAACAACCCGATATCGATTATCAACAATATGGTGGCCACTTGTTGTTGTTGATTAGTCGGTTGGTTGGTAACGAAACAAAAACAATATTTACCCCTTTGGCCATAATAAAAATCAATAATCCGGCCATATCTATCTTGATTTCAATAGGGAAAAAATTCAAATTTTGACCTTGAAATTTTTGTTTTGTTGTTGTTTTTGATTTTTTGCTGTTTTCAACGTTTTTTTTCCATTAACGAAATCAATTAACGATAATTTGTTTTCTTCAACAACCGAAATCAATTAATTTTAATTAGTTTTTCGATTCTTGAATAATCGATTTTTGATCGATAAAATCGATTTTTCCAATTGATAAGTTCTTTTTCTCTGGTTGGTTGGTTGGTCGCGTTGATAATGAATTTCATTTCATTCTAATTTCCAAAACCGATCCGATCCGAACAAAATCATGACGACCAAAACAACAAAGATTGCGGCCACCACCAACAATATCTTCCACAATGATCCATGGTTCAATATTCTTCGTCAAACATATGGTTATTTAAGTATACCATTATATCCATATCCATGGTTATCATCATCATCATCGAATGATAATCGTAATCGAACGATTCGTTGGTTAAATTTATTCATAAATACTGTTATAAATTTTTTTGTATTCGAAACATTATTTCCACAACAAGCAAGCAATTATTATCAAGAATTACGAACAAAATATTCACATTATACATTATTTCCAATGTATTTATATTTGAATTTTCTTTTATTACGACCAGTTATGATTATTGGTTATTGGTTTCTATATCAAACACGTTCAAATCGTTTAATTCGAATGATGACCAGAAAAGATTGTTTCCAAATTCGATTATCCAATCATCGATGTTATCAATGGATCATTTCAATGATACTAATACAATTTTTATTATTATTATTATATCGTTTAAATTTAATTAAAGAATTGTTTGAAAAATTTTCATTCAATTCAATTAGATTTTTAATTGTTTATTTTGTTTATGATTCATATTCAATACTTACATGGTCATTACTTTGTTATCATCAATTATTGAATATTCTTACATTAAAATGTTATCTAATGGCTATTTCAATCCGACCGAAATCTTTGGATCAAAATAGATTTCGAATATTTATAAAATCATTTGAAAAATTTTCAAATATAAATTTTCAATTACGAAATCAATTATCACCATTATGGATTATACATTTATGTAATGTTTGTTCATCACATTTTAATACAATCATTCGAATTATGATTGAAGGTTGGCAAAATCGTTGGCATAAAATTCATCGTGATATATTATATACTATACTTTGGTTAATATTATTTTATCTTAATCAAAAATCATTATCATTATTCGATCAAATTTATTATCGTATTCGTCAACTAATATCATCAAAATTAATAATTGTAAGACGAACAAATCGAAATCAAATTCAACGATCATCAATAACAAATTATCAACAACAATGTCGTTATGAAGAATTTAAATTATTAAAAGATGATTTTAAAATAATTATCTATGATGGTACATTACATATTCATTCAGTTCTTTTTGTTCAATTAATTGCATTCATTATTCATTATGTTTGTATTATTATTTTATCTTGAAAAAATTTTCGAAAATTTTTTTACAAAACAAAATCAGACCATCAGATGGCAACACTGTCAATCCGAAAATTGTGCACGTGTTTTTCTTTTTAGTGAATTTTTGTTTGATTTTTGCTTTTTGAAAAAAATTATCAAAAACAAAATGCAAAACGATGATGTTATCTGGAGTGTATTGACATCTTCACTTTGTTCATATCAGATCAAGTATGAATTTTGTTTTGTTTAATATTTTTTACCGTAATTTCATTTTTATTTTTCCATAGAACAAAATCACAAAATTTTTGCCGCAATGAATATAATGTATCTGGTCTTTGTGGCCGTAAACATTGTCCATTAGCTAATAGCCAATATGCAACTATACGTGAAGAACAAGGACAATGTTATCTTTATATGAAAACAATTGAACGTGCTGCATTTCCATCCAAATTATGGGAAAAAGTAAAATTATCAAAACAATATGAAAAAGCATTACAACAAATTGATGAACATTTGATTTATTGGCCAAAACATCAAATTCATAAATGTAAACAACGTTTAACGAAAATCACTCAATATTTAATTCGTATGCGAAAATTAGAGCTGCAAAATCCGAAAAAATTCGTTCCATTAGCATCAAAAATTGAACGTCGTGATAGACGTCGTGAAACAAAAGCATTGATTGCAGCACGTTTAGAAAATGCAATCGAAAAAGAATTATTAGAACGTTTGAAAAAAGGTACCTATGGTGATATTTATAATTTTCATCAAAAAGCATTTGAACAAGCATTAAGTAATAATGATGATAATGAAGAAATGGAAGAAGAAAATGCTGAAACGGAACGGGAACTTGAATTGGAATTAATGAGTGATGATGATGATGAAACGGAACAACAAACCGAATATGTAGCAGCGGATGATTTTGATGAAAGTAGTGATGATGATGATAACGATGATGATATTGAAGATCTAGAACCATCAATAACATCAAAGAAATCTACCATCGCCAAAAAACTGTCATCGAAAAGGAAAAAACCACATGTTGAAATTGAATATGAAAATGAATACGAACGACCATCATCATCTAAACAACGATTACATTGATTTTCAGTATTTCCACGAAGGAAATTCTATAAAAATTTTATTTAATTTTTGTTTTCTTCAAAAAAATATAAATTTTTTTTTTCGTTTATAAAAATAAAAATGTCATAAATATATCATTATCATTATAAAAATAGAGAAGCAGGCACCAAAAGTTGTGAGCCATTTTTGATTTCGAAATTTTTTTTGATTTGAAAAAAAGGCCATCGAAAATGATTAATGGAGGGAATATTCTTTGTTTGTTTTTTGATTTAAACTCGATCAGAATTACTTTGAAATTCTAATAATGCTTTGATTGGTGCAATATTACGTTTTTGTGAACCACGACGTACTTTGGCACGAATTTCATCCGGTCTTTCACGTCTAACTAATGGTTTCTTTTCCGGTGCTTTCATTTTCCAAACAAATATTGGATACTGTTCGAAAAAATTCGACATAGAAATTTTTAAAAAAAGTTAAAAAACCACCTTGAAACTTACATTAAGCTGTCCATTAATACGTGGATATTTTGTTGATGCAACATATGATGATTTTACTGTTAAAACAACAGCATTCATAAGATTTTTAGCCGCTTGAATTAGACTTGTTGCGCTATCCAACTGATCAAAATGAAAAAAGAAAGTCTTTATCAAAACAAAACAAAATTAAAAAAAAAACTTACACCAGATACGATTAAATTTCCGGAAATATTCTGTACATCTGCTTTAACTTTTGATGTTATATTTAATTGATGACAATAAAGATTGATCATCTGTAAATAAGCAATCAAATCTTTTTTTGTACTTGATTCTGGACATTGTTCAGCAATTTGCCTGGCAAATTTATCCAATTTTGTACCATATTCGGAAATTTTTTTCGCTGCATTTATAACATCCATTGTTGTTTTCAATGGTCCTTTACCACGTGTAAAATCAGTCATTTCCATCATAATCATACACATTTGTTTAGCAATAACAATAATATCATTTCCAGTATCATCCCATTTTGCAACTTCTTTATCGAATTTATTTTTCTCCGTACGAAATGTTTCAACTTGTTGAGCGATTTTTTCTTTTTCTTCTTGCGGTACTAAACGATATGCATCACGTGCATTATTAATACCATGTATTTCGGGATATTCATCAAAATCAGTATGTATGCTTGCTATTGATTTGATACGATGAGGAAAGAAAAAGCCAAAATTAAAAAATCAAATCAAAAAACAAACAAAAAAAAACTTACATTTCGAACGTGTTTCATATGTATTATTGTCTTCATATTCAATTTCAGTTTCAGAATCTAATTCTTCAACAGTACGATTCAATAAAACTGTACGACGAATTTCACGTACACCATCATAAACTAAACGTGATGCATCAATAAATTCATTTTCATCAACAATTGGTTTATCACCATTTTGATTTGGATTCGAATTCTGTTGATTCTGTTTCAAAATATTCACTGCAATCGATACACGTTCAGCAAAATTTGACATTATTTGATCACGTAAACATTGTACAGCTTCTAAAACACGTTCAGTATATAAACCAGGTTCATAATTATCCATTTCAGCAGCGACAACATTACAAACACGTGCCGAACGTCCACGTATAACATTTGCCGTACGATCTAATGTATCCGAATCAGATTCTTGTAATGCCAGAACACATTTATTAACATCTTCAAGTATATGATTTTCAGAAACAGCCAAAAAATCATCAATAGTTGTTATATCATCAACAGCTTCAGTCAGAATTCGTACATGATTATTCCATGAATCACGAAATAAATTCATATTTTCTTGTGCTAATTTGGATTTTGAACGTGTTGCTAATATTCTTGCTGCATTTATAACTTCAGGACAAATTGTTTCAATTTGTTTAGCTGCAAACCGTACCATTTTTACACCATCTTCATTATTTGACATTGAACAGGCTAAATTTGCAACTTCAACCAATTTTCCAGCATGTTCATTAAATATTATAGCCATTTCTTCTACTTCGTTTATATCACCTTTACGTGCTGCTTCAATCAATACCAATAATGGAACATTTGTTTCTAAAAATGAATCCGATACATGATCAATAACAGCTTTACGTAATTGTCTACGTAAATCTTTTGTTTTCTGTGTCATATGATCAATTGCTTTATTCAATGATTCTGATGGTTCTTTTTTCGATGCATTTGACATATATTCCGATAGTAAATCTTGTAATGCTTGCCTAACGGCATTACATTCAGCAACAATACGTTCACGACGTTCATCTCTTGTACACGATGAATCGGCCATTAATGCTGCACCACTTATTATCGATTCTAAACGTTCTTCTAATTCAGGTCGTTTTTTTATTTCATTATAAATCAATGGATTTATGAAAATTGAATCATCAAATTCATCTAATGCTGATGCTAATTCACCTGGTCCATCATAAATGATTCCATTAAGATTATCCGGATTATTTGATTTTCCTTGTGCAACATCACTAATTGTTGTTACGGCATTACAAACTTGACGATAAATAAAATCACGATTTTCACGTGCAGCCGGTATTTCCGGATGGCGAACATAAACTTTCGATGCTGTCAATAGCATCATACAATTTTTTTTCAATACAGCTCTTGCAGCAGCTAAATCTTCTTTTAATTTTGGATCTTTTAATTCGGCTTGACGTTTAGCGGCTAGATTTATTAATTCAGCTGTATTACGACCAAATTGTCGAAATGATTCCATTAATTCAGCTTGACTTGATGCATTTTTTACTTTATCCAAATCATTTTCAACAATTTCTAATGATTTCATTAGACGATGTACATCAACCATATCGGCAAAAATCAATAAACGTGTTACGGCTGATAATAGATTTCTTGCCGCTTTTACCATCTGATTACGTTTGATTGATGAACATGGTTCTTCAGCAAATTCTCTTGATGCTTGACTCATTATTTCACCTGCTTTTCGAACTTCTTCAACAGCACCCAACATATCCATTTTTATATCCGGATTTTCCAAGGCAATTTCTTCACCACGAATAATAAAATTTTCGGTTGCTTTTTCCACCGCTGCAACCAAAACATGTGCACGTTTTGAACGACCTTTTTTCTTTTTCGATGGTCCTTTTGTATTGACCAATGTTGTTACTTGCATAACTAATGGTTCTAATGTTTTTTCAACCGAATGTGTACGAATTTCAAGGTTTTTTGGATCCCATTTTATTTGAAATTGATGTTGAGATGATGATGATGATGATGATGGTGGTGGTGGTGGTTGATGATAATAATGATTATTGTTGTTTTGTTGAATGGCTTGCATTTTTATTTCGGGGAATTGAATTTCAATCGAATCAAAACACAAAACTAAAACGAAATGGAATTACAAACAAAAATTATCTAATTGAGGGCATAAAGTGTTGAAAATTTTCTACGTTGTTGTTATCATGGTAACATCCCGAAGACGATGATGACGAATAAACTCAAAACTCAAAACAATAAAGCGGGATCTTCAGGTTAATGATATTGATGATGGATGATGGTAATGGTGAACTCGGGAGAGAAAAAGACAAGAGAGAGAGATATGGTTGTACAGTTTTAAGTTGAATGAAGTTTCGTTGTTTTTTTTTTTGTTGATCCAAACGATTACAAACTCTCAAACGAAACCTGTTATGAAATATATTGCCACGATGCGCAGCTGTCATTTTTTTTTTTTTTTTTTTTTTTTTTTTTTTTTTTTTTTGGGTTTTTTTTTAAAAAAAAAAAAAAAAAAAAAAG